TCTCTCTCTATCCCTATCCCTCTCTCTCTATCCCTCTCTCTCTCTCCCTCATTTTGTCTCTTTGTCTCTGTTTGTCTGCCCCTCATTCTCTTCTTGTATCCCTCATTCTCTCTCTCTCTCTCTTTTCCCCTCTCCCTCTGTCAATCTCTCTCTCCTCTTTGCAGTGACATCGAGGAGGATGTCCAAAGCCTACGCCAGTTCAGCACGGAGCTCATCGTGGCCACAGTGGCACGATGTCTCAAGGTCATATCCAGTGACCTTGAACTCCCGTCTAGTCTGCCCCCAGGGATGTCAGCCAGGTTTCGAGTGGGTGCCAGTCTTGCCAATCATGTTCAGGTAAGTGGATGCAATCCATTGTAGGAGAGGGATTTTTGTCACACAATGTGTAAAAGAATTTTGTGGATGTAGGGGGGCCTTTTTAATGAATTATTATGAATGCTTGATGAATATGTATTTGTCTAGAGTTTTAAAAGGGACATATAAAAAAAGAGATATTGATATCAAGTTATTCAAGAATGTTTTTAAAAAAATGTTCATCATGAATATTGAAGGACATTTGTACCTATAAAAATACTTTGGTATCTACAAATAAAACATAAAGAGAAAAAAAGAATTCTAAATTTGTTCATCAAGAAATTTTCAAAAGTGTATTTTTTAGAGCTATTCATAAAAAATGTTTCTTATATAATTGATGCAAAGGGTCATGTGTTAGAACTATTTTTCAATGGATATAGAGGGAAAGTCATTTTCAAAAGTGTATAATAGATGTAAGATGACTTTATTCTTGTAGAAGCTTTTTGAATAAATTGTAGACACTTTTTGTACTTCATTTTCATCATGAAATTTGCTGATTTTTCTATCTCGAGTCAGTGACCTGTTGTTAAAATACTCATGCTTTTGTTGACAGTTGGTCAACCACTAGTTAACGTGTCTTCACTTTGTGGCCTTAAAACTCAAATTTCATATTGATATTTCAAGCATTTCCATTTGACAAATTTATTCACCATTCAAATTTATTGAGATTGACCGTGCTTTACAACATAGTCAATTGTCAGGCTTACAAAAGTTTTGGATAGGTCTATTTGTTGTGCCTGACACCATTGATGCTTGTTGTGTTCAACGAATAGCCTGACTTCTGACCTCTGAATGTCTTTCGTCTCCTCAGGACCTCGGGTACAAAGGTGGAGACCTGGGATACCAGACGTTTCTCTACTCGAACGAGACGGAGATTCGGAAGATTTTTATGTTTCTGGTGGAGAAACTGCCTAAAGAATCCTCTCAGACAGCTGATGAACCCTTAGGTAAGTTTAGATATATACCTGTGAGTGTGCTATCTCAATGCGTGCTACTAGTTCAGTGGCTGACTTATGTGCTCTGTATGTGAGTACGTATTCATATGCTCAATGTGTGAATTTGTTTATGCTTACTCATGTGCTCTGTTTGCGTGTTATAAATTATAAGTGTGCGTGTGTGCTCATGTACTTTTTATGTATTTGTGTGTCTGTTATCGTCGTGTACTTGAAATGAACATGTATTTGTGTGTTGTCTCATATATGCTGTGTGTATGTTCTCATGTGCTCTGTGCTCGTGTGTGTATATTCTTGTGCTTCATCTTACATGAGTTTAAATGTATGTACTCATGTGCTGAATGAGGGAATCTGTGTGGGTTTTTTTTAAATGTGTGCTCAGGGTGTGAGTATCCACTTGTACCTTGCTCTCTGTGGCCTTGAGCTTGTGCTTGGAGAGTGCCTCAGGGAAGTCCTCTGATTTTTTCCTTTCCTCCTGTTGTTTCAGTCTATCCTTTTTTTTCTCCTGGGCCAAAGATCTGTTATTGTGTTGAGTTGTTTCTATTTACTCAAACAAATTCATGTCAGTCATGTTTGTGTGTATGTATTTGTTGGGTATTCTGTAAGTGTGTGTTTACTTGTGTGCTATGTGTAAATTTTTACTTATCTGCTATGTGCGTAAATGTTTCCTCATTTTCTCTGGATACGCCTGCTTGTTCAATGCTCTCTTCAAGCCTGAAAAAGCTATTGCCCTATCCTCCCAGGGGCATCTGTTCTTCTGCACCGAGCAATCTGTACAGAACTGAGTAACCAGCTGTCTGCCTCGTGGACACCAACCTTCATGAAAGACCGAGGCATTCGCTCAAGGTCAAAGCCTCCTGGATGGCAAAGAGAGGTAAGCCTGTATGGATGTCACAGTTAGTTAGAAATCCTCCTCTTATGGTAACTACAATGTATATATTGGTGTGATGCCCCTTTCCACACTGTATGTAAGGTTATTTAAGAGGTGAGACTTCCACATTTAAATGTCCAGCACCGATAGGACTCTGCCGAGAGGGTGAAGAGCCTTGAAAACTTCCCGAACTGCATAAACTTGAAAACAGACCATTGGAGATTTGAACCAGGGCAGCTGGCTCCTTAGTCCAACTTGATACCATGTGGACTAACAGCACACCCATGGTATGAAATGATTTTGTGAGAAGTGATTTTCGTATTAAGTAAAGAATGTGTGAAAACTCTTTCCACTTGAGTTAGGAAATCTGGACAGGACAATTCTGTGATTTCAAGACACGCAGAAGCCACGAAGTCTGGCTCTTCTGTTATAAACAAAAGAATGTCTTTTCATGACTTTTCTTTGGAAGAAAAGAGAGGTTTTATCATGTCTCTGATAGTATTTTGGGATTTGTATAAAGAGAAAACACATGATGGAGGGATGAATGCTGTGAAACTAAAACTTGACTTTTCCTCTGTAAAAAAATTTTGAAGCGGCAGGACCTCCAAATTAAATGGCCAGCTCCTGTAGGACAAAGACAAGTGAATAGAAAGCCTTAAAAACTCCTCAAGACAGCACAAGTTCATTTAACCATGGTGGGGGTTTGAATCAGGGCCTTTCACTCTGTAATCCTGCTTGATACCAACTGAGCTAATTATGTGCCTGATTAAGGTTGTTTTTTGGTTTTTTTCCTAAAGGCCTTATACATGGTTATGCAGATGTAACTTGAATTGGGGCAGCCCTCTGAATATCTCTCTCAGTATGTGTTCCTCCCATCCACAGGGTGCATGTTGTCTCCAGTACTACCACAGCTGCCCGACAAGGACGCCTGTGGGCACTGCGAATCTGAGCATCAAACTACCCAGAGGTCAGTTTCCTCAGCCATTTGTTTGTTTTTTTAATTATAAAGAGAAGCTGCAATAATGGTCCATTTAGTGTGCTCAAAAAGCAAGATAAACAGACAGTATCAGCAGAAGGAAAGAAAAGAAGAAAGAGCTGCCATTAACATCCTCCAATTACCTGCTTGTTTGTACCATACAAAAGCCCCAGCTAGACATCAGTGTTTTTTTTTAGCTGGGCGTGGTGAGAATAGGACAGGTTGTAAATGGTTTATGCCCCATTAGGACTGTTAATATCATTTTGAAGGTGGGCTCTGCCAGCTGGGGTCTACCCTGTCTGAATGGGATACACAAGACATACAAAGTTATTTTCTAAAATAACTTGCTCTCTCAGGAATCAAACACAAGTCATCTGCACACAACAGTGAAGAGCCTTACCATTGCACAAGAGATGACAGTAAGAGTGAAAAAGAAGAAAGATGCACAAGTATATATACCACAGGAAATATCACCAAACGTGCCCTATCTCCTTCACATGACAAACTAAACCCGCCTACACTATTGTGTTGAGAGTGTTGTAAAACACGTACTTATTTTAACAGATTACAAAAAATAAGCTTTCTGTTTTCCTTGTGTTGACTGTGCCTTAACCATCCTAGTGTCAACAACTGATAAAATCAGCCATAAGTTTCATTCTGTGGTGTTGTAGCAGATTTAATTGGCTGTTATTTGAATTGATGTTTGGTTCATTTATCCCGTTGTTATATCGCCAAACATTTCAACTCCTTCTCAAATGAGCTCTACTTCCTCTTTATAACCTGTTTTCTGAAATTGAAAAGGTTTATGGCCTTTATTTGCTTGATTTGCCTGTTTTCAAGCATTTTCTAACATGATATGTTGAAATCCTTTGACACCATGGTCTGTTTCTTTGCCACATGTGAAGGGTTAAAACATAAACTGAAATATTAATAACCAAACAAGTTTTCTGTGTTTTTCTTTCGTCAATATTGCTGTAAAACACGCTTAAACAAACATGTTTTGTTCATTTTTTCTTGTCATATGTGACGAATCAGATGTGCATCTGCCATTATGTCAATAATGTTGTAAAACATACTCAAACAACCAAGCAAATAAGTTTTTCTCCTTTCTGCAGAGACCAGATCGTACTACACATCCAAACTTCCGTACGTGACGAACCAGACGCGTGTCCACCGCGACACAGCGCCATCTGTGCTGGAGGCTAACACCTTAGAGGTGGCTGTACAACAGGAGTGGGAGACCGAATGGAACTCTGTGGGACTGGCCTCTAGACTCACACAGCAGGTTGGTCATGTGGGCGGACAGGTGCCCATGCACACGCACAGGGCTGTGCTGCTCACCCTCTGGGATATGTGCCCGTCTCTCTCTTTCTCTCTCTCTCTCTCTCTCTCTGTTCTCACAATTTCTTGCTAACTCTCTCGCTCACTCAAACTCTTTCTCCTCAACCC